GATTGTTAAAGAGGAGCTTGTTCATGTATTTTTTAAAAATGTGTGCCAGCCTCAAAATTGCTAATATGAGATCATACTATACTAATTATTTATAACTTGGTATTTTTTCTTGTGTATCTATTTTTTAGGAAATTGGTTATGTGCTGTGTATTCCTATTCCGACTTTGCCATTCACTAAGGATGAATGCTTGGGCATGTCACTTAATTTTTCAGAACCCTGTTTTATTCCCCCTTAGAAAATGAAAAAGTGGAACCAGATCATTTGTTGGGTCCGTTATATGTCCCTAATATTCTATATCTCTGTGACCAAAGACTCAAAAATATTCCTTTAGATAACTGAAAACAATACATTTCTTTTCTTTTTCCTTCTTTCTCATTTTCCTTCTTCCCTTCTTCCCTCCCTCTCCTTCCTTCCTCCCAATCACTAAGGCCCTGTTGGCATACAGCAAAGACTGTATTTTTTGAGGGATTTATTGAAATTGGTCTCATTATTTATCAATTAATCACAGTAGTTCAATGGCTTTCTTTAACCAAAAATGGCCATACTATTCATGACATCATTATTTTCCCTAGTAATTGAAATCTGAAAAGCATAATATTTTCTACAATAAAAAGATCATCTTGGCATGATCCTACTTCCTCCTTCTCAGGAAGCTAGAATCTTAAAATAGGTCATCAGAAATAAAACTCTTTGGAATGGATAAATGTAGCAGGAAGTCTATAATTGTTGTTGGATATGTATGTGAGGTCCACCAGCACTGCCCTGTGCTATTTTCAAAACAGTGCGAGATATGATCTATAAATAGTGCCATTTTGGTTTTAAGTAGTTCCATTTTGGTAATGGATTGTTGTGGTTTTTCTCATTTGCTATGTTGTGAGCAGTGACAAAAGGTCTTGAAATGTTAGTGCTGAGCTTCTCTTTCTTGCCCCACACTTCCATGTGGTTAGATCTTTCTGTGTCGACTGGTGGAGAACTAAGATTGTTAGATTAAGGATACAAAGAGAAAGAAACCGTTAATATCCAATCGACTGACTTCCAAAAAAGGGCGGAGCGGAAGAGAGAGCCCATGTGAAAAGATGGTTGCTGGCCAGTGACTGCAGACCACCCCCAACATTTGAATGAGTGTGCCACTCTGTAGAGGAGCCGTAAGTGCTGTTGTCATCACTGGTGAGGCCCGTATAGCACCTGCACTTGGCTTCTTGCACTATCCAGGTGAGGGATGTCCACCTGTGCCCTAAAACTTTGCTAGGCTCCCACTTGACCTGCTCTCTGTGGATTTCACCCGTGTCAACAGGACACACATTTCAAAACAGTATGAGTTTCTTCACCACCAGAGGACCCTGAAGACGGACTAGAAGCAGAAGCCCCAGCTTTGGCACTTGGAAGGGTCTAGACAGTGGGAAACCCATTCCTGGTTAAATGTGTATATATTTTTATTAGGAAATACTAGGGTGTTAAGGCTAATGAGATGGCATATAAGAAAGTACACAGCATTAATTCATTTATACATCCAAATAATAAACTTCTTTGAATACCTAATGAAAACTTACAATAGCTCATATTTTGAACGAGGCCCTGTGCCTGGGTACTAGGGACACAAGAAAAAAAAATTAAAAATAAATGCTATACTATCATAGTCTTCAAGGACATTATAGAATGTTAGAGGTCCATAGAATGCCTGCAAGACTTCATTCACTGAACAAATATTTATTGAGCATCTACTATTTACCAGGCACTGTTGTGGATACTAAGGATATAGTGGTAAACAAGATGGATGAGATCCCAGTCTTGTAAGCTTACATTGTGGTGGGGAAGATATAGCATAAACAAATAAATAAGGTGATTTCAGTTGTTGTAAGTGCTATTAGAAGGTAAAATAGGCCAATGTGACAGAAAGTAACTGGTTGGGGGGTGAAGGGAGCAAGTTCAGGTAGGGTGGGCAAGATAGCCTCATTGGGAAAGGTGTTTGAATGAACACTGAATAATAAGGAGTTAGTAATGCCAAGACATTTGGAAAGAACAGATGGAACAGAAAGCACAGGAGCTTTCAGACAAGTACTAGTCTAGTGTGTTCTAGAAAGGTAGCCAGTGGTACAATCTCTGCAGGCTCATGAGTGGGGAGCCTCATTCACTAAGGAGGTGATGGGGTCTTTACGGCTTGACATACAGTAAGTGCTTAATAAAAGAATGATATCTTTCCTCTGATGCAATCCTTTAAAAAATGTTTACTACAAATTTAAGAAGAGCTTATAATACCCTCCCCTATTGCACACCTCCAGTCCTGCTCCCCAGAGGCAACCACTCTTACAATTTGTTTTTAGTTCTTTTGGCAATTACCATACATATCTTTGAATAGCATGCTCCTAATCTTATTTCTTCCCATATCAATTATGGATATCATCTATTTACTTCCTACAATGACAAGCATTTAGCCAGAGTCTTATGGTTATTTTTTCTTCCTCTATTGGTTATCTCTGCACCTATTCATAATAAACTATGTCCTGATCCTTCATCTCTTGGCTGCCACATTGTAAGATTGAGATGTTATAGACCCAGTTCTCCCCATTGCTTCTCTTCCTCCACTTTTCCCTCCACGTCTCTACAACCTCCTATGGCTCAGAGAATATAATTCCCACTCTCTTTAGCATGTCATACAGGGCCCTTTAGGATCTAGGCCCAGCCTACTTTTTTCATTTCCTGTTGTCATCCACATTAGTGACACTCACAGTCACAATGAACTACATACTCACAGTAGTGCATAGTTTTGGAAACTTTGGCATGTTCTTGTCTTTGTTCTCATTGCCTCATATGTTTTCATTGCCTGAAACTGCCTCCCTCGGCAGTTCCCCGCAAATCCCATTCATTCATTTTAGCCCATGTGGCATTTTAAGAAATCTTCCCTGGTAGATGACGTTTATGAAATTGAAAAATATTTATCGAGTGTGTGTTTCATGCAAGGCACTGTTTCAGGTGTCAGGGCTCTAGTGGCCAAGACACATACTCAGGAGCTTGCATTCTAGGGCCTATGAAGTAGATCCAATAAAAACAACCCCCATTATGAAATCTACTATGTGTCAGGACTGCACTAAATGACTCACATGCACTATTTAAATCTTCACAACTTCAAGAGACTTGAAGAAGTGAAATATTCTTCCTGAGGTCACTTCCTATAAGTGAGCATATATTCAAACTCAAGTCTGTCTGACTTCAGAGCTCTTTTTTTTTTTTTTTTTTAAGATTTCATTTATTTATTTGACAGAGAGAGACACAACGAGAGAGGGAACACAAGCAGGGGGAGTGGGAGAGGGAGAAGCAGGCTTTCCGTGGAGCA